GGTTATCATTATCCAGTCATTAGGCTTAGAGTCAATATCAGTAGATCATCAGTATATTGCCCTTTTTCTTACCAGTTAGTAACAATATAACTTAAACCACAGAGTTAGCATGGATTCTTTTTGGCATAGTCAATCAAAAGTTTGGACTTGAAAACATTTATAAATGAATAATTATAACAATTAATTTAATTTCCTCCAGGTCAAAGAAAGCAGGGTAGCAGGGAGACGCTTACATTTGATAATATAATTTAAACTAATTCCTTCCTCCAACAATTAGTATCTATTAAAGATGCCAAAGATATAAGGTACAGTCCCACATTTAAGGAGCTTGAGTTATAGTAAAGTTAGACTTTCCTTGTCCTCCACAATACCTAGTAGAAGTCTTGCACATAGATGTTCAAAATTAATTCATTTAGCAAATATTTATTGTGTACCCAGGATGTGCCACTAATGGCTAACAGGTAATGTCATACCTCAGCTAGCTAATAGATGGTACTTTTTGGAAATTGCAAATATGTCTGGATTTTGGGGGTTACTAGAAATTGAAATTAGGAAAATTGTCTCCTGTTCTTCCAGCATGTAAATATATAGTTTTCTAATTAGAGGATGAGAGATTAAATTCATTGGACATCACAAAGCAATAGAATTTGTTTTTCATAATGAAAACTGATCTGCATTGAGATGTTTTTCTACTCATTGAAAATTTTCTCCATCATATTTCAAGGACTATATCTTTTGCCTAATTTTAATATATTATGCATTTGTGATAGCAAATTAAACATAATTTTATGGCCCAAAAAATAGCCCCCAATACATTAGCTCTTCTTTATATATTTTTATTTCAAATAATTTGGTGTTTAAACCATTGGTTCACAACTAAGAGTGCCTCTGCCTGCCCAAAAACATTTGGCAATGTTTAGAGAGATTTTTGGTTGTCAGAACTGGGCAAAGGTTATCTAGAGGATAGAGATCTGTCAAACACTAGTGACACACACATACTAGGCATACATATTTGCTGAGTGAATTAATGCACAGGACAGCCCCCTATAATCAAGCATTGGATCAGGATGTCTGTTTTTATTAAATAAAAGGCATTGGAGTGTTACTTATGTACCAGTAGATGGGACTGCAGATATTTCAAAAGCACCAGGTCCCAGTTCTCAAAGAGCATACTCTAAAAATGGAGATGATAGGTAAACAAAAACAAATTACAAAATAATATGCTATGTTTTTTAATAGCGCTAAGTGGCAAATAGCTTTGTTGGGTGGGTCAGAGAAAGCTTGACAGAGAAGGTGAAGTGTGAGTGAGTACTGTGTAGTAGCTCTGCTCAAACTTTTAGCACTCACTCAGATGCTGTTCCTAGAAGGACAGAGCAAGCCCAAGGAATAGCATGTTAAAAGGTCAGGAAGCCTGATAAACAGAAAGAATTGATTATATGCAGTTCATTGTATTGAGGTGAGCCTGGAGTTTTAGCTAGAATCCTGCTTTAGGAAGCCTTGAATCCAAGAAGTGTGGACTTTATCCTGAGGATAGGACTATAACAGAAGGGATCTGCATTTTTGAAGACCATTCTGAAGGTCATGTGCATAAAGAGGGAGATGAGAATCCGTTTTGGGAGAGGATTTAAACTGCCCTGATCAAGAAGATCTGAGATTCTATAGGAAGGTCTGATCAAGCACCTTGAATGGTATGGGAAGGTGAAAGGTAAAGAAGAGGACATGTGACTTGCAAATTTTACCTTGGGGACTTCAAACCATTAACCAGGATAGAAAATATACAGGAGGAGAGTGAGTGATTGAAGTAATTTTTTTGCAAACATTATTTTTGAAGTATCTATGGAACATGTTTTTGTGGTTTGTTTTCCTAAGAACTTAATATTTGTTTGATTTTGATTATTAGGAATGACACAAAAGAAGCATAGTGACCTAAGAGTAAAGAATTCTGTTTCTAAATATGCCAGTGATTGCTTGTAAGGCCCTGAAAGTATTACTTATTTTTTTTCTCTGCAGCTGTAAGTTTTGAAGTGTAGTGATAAAAATGTACCTCTTAGGAGAGTTGATATAATTGATATTGAGCTAGAAAATAAATAATTAGATGTTATAAGCCATTTGAAAAATTATAGTATTTAAACATTCTGAAGATCCTAGTAGACATTTGCCATGATAAATATTTGTATACCCAGATTGGGTTCCTAAGATCTCTCATTTTGATAGCCTTTGAATAACATTGGCTAAATTGCCTGGATTGCCTAGATAAGCCTTTGTTTTTTAGTTTTTTTGATTTTTTTCATTACTCAAGTATGATTTTTACTTAACTTTTGCATCTGAAGGAAAACTTCATGTCTTACTTTTTATGTCCAAACCTCTTGTGCTGTGTTGTTTATACTTTCACTGTAAAAAAGTAAATGATACTACCTTTAAAAGGTTCACTGAATATGCATTAGCTGATAAACATGAAAAGAAAAGCAATTTAAAATATTTGTCATTACCATTTTAATGTTCTTCCTCCTCTGTTCATCAACTGTTTGAGCAGGAAAACAGCAAAGTGACTCTTCTGGTTGTTACTACCAACACATTGTAAAGATCTTTTTCCTTAAACCTATTTAGTACAGGATCTGCTTAGTACTGGCCTGTGTCCCAGAAGACCATCAGAGATAAGGCTATTATCCTTTTATTGAGTATTATCCTGGGAAAGTATTTATAAAATTGAACTCTGTGGCACCTGCTGACCTCTTTTCTAAATGAAAAAGGGTGGGGATGGAAATTGTGTTCAGTGAATTTAGATGAAGCAGTATGTTTAGCAGCACTGACAGCAGAGTGCTTTAGTTAGTGCCTTTTATACCGTGCAAATTGATTCCATCTTGGACTTCGAAAGAAATAAGTTGACAATTCATATCAAGAAGTTGACAGTCACATTCAGGGCTCTGCAGTTATTGGCATGGTTGCTATTTTTTCATAAGCAGTTCTAAAATAGAACTCACAGCTATTTTAGGATTAATCTAAAGTGTTTGCTTGCCATTGCTGTCATGTTTTTCTAAAATTGCTATAAATAAAATCTAGTGGTATTATCTTCAAACCTGAGAGAATACTTTTGGAAGACTTAAATATTTAAAAACAATTTTCATCCTTAATGTTTTTCTTTTCCTTTCCTCTTCCTCCCCTTCCCTTCTTTTTCCTTGCTTTCTTCCTTCTTTCCTTCCTCTGTCTCATGGTGATGGAGATAGAAACGAGGTCCTCAAATATGTTAGGCATATGCTATGCTATTGAGCCACATCCCAGTTCATGTGCTTAACTTTAAAAAAAAAATCGTCATTAAAATGAAAAAGAACAGTTTAAAAAAAATTTAAACCTAGTCTCCTATGAAATCTTATCAAAAGCTAAAAATGTGTGAAGAACAGTGCTATGTAACTTTCAAGTATCGCTCTAAAAATACTATTGTGGCTTGCCATGGTAATACATTCCTATAATCCCAACGACTCAGGAAGTCTGAAGTAGGAGGGTTGCAAATTCAAGGCCAACCTCAGCAATTTAGTGAGACTCTGTCCAAAAATAAAAGGACTGGGGCCTGGCTCAGTGGTAAAGGACCTCAGGGTTCAATTCCCAGTATATTTAAATAAGTGTGTGTGTGTGTACACACACACACACACACACACACACACACACACATATATATATATATATATATATATATTGCATTGTCAAATTACTTGGATTATATTTGTATAAAATATATGCTACATATATTTATGTAAATGTACTATTATGGCCCACATATTTAAACACTGATTTGAGGCAGCTGAGTTAAATGGTGGTTTATGACTTTTTGAAAATTATTTTCATTGGTCAGACAAGAAATAACTTAAATAAACTCACTCCCAACTTTGTTGTCCCAGCATACCAGGCTGTGTTCATTTTCTATCTTCCTTTCCATTTCCTTCTCATGCTTACATGCCTTTTCCATTAATTAATTCAGTGATGAAGTCTGCCATGTTTGCCTCATATTTTAATGTTTGCCTCATGGTGGTAACAGTGTGAAGTCCATTATCACTATAATGCGAATGCATATTTATTCTGTTTATATTTAATAATAAGGCATTAGTTCAAATTAGAAATCTGACAGGAACTTCAGTTAATCAGATATAACCTGTTGTGTAATATAGAATGCAGTAGATCATTGGCATCTTTAAGGCTGGAATGTAAATCTCCTCGCCTACCAACACCTATTGTGCAATGACTCTTCCAGGATCCCAGTCACTTCATTATAGAACTAGCAGGTCAGTAAAATAACGCATTCTAGATCTGCTGGACTGTATCCATCTGAATTTTCAGTACTGCTTAGATATGTATTAGCCAAATAATCAGAAAAATATATGGTTCTTTGTTTAACCAATCTTTGGTTAGATTTAAGTTATCTTAAACTATCTGAAAACTAGGGATTGCTTATAAATTTATCAGTTTTATCAATTGTTCAGTTTATTTACAGTTAGGCGTATTTCCTGAAATAAGAAAAAGTAATGTATTATCTGAGTGTATTACTTTATGCAGTAATTTTAAATATGTAGTAGTGGGAAGCATAGGAACAGAGAATGTTTACAGTTGAGAGATGTGGTATTTTGTCCCAACTCTATCACTTACTAGCTCTGTGTTCTTGGGCAGGTTATTTACCTTATGTCCTAGCCTCTATTTCTATGGTAATGATGCATACATGTATGTCATCTTGCATAGAACCTGACATGGGGCAGATACTCAATAGAAGTAGTTCTAGTACTTATAGTTATTATCTTTAATATTAATTAAAATTTGTACAATTAATTACATTGTCAGTAATAAGAGTTTTAAATGATTGAGGGCTAATGATATAGATCAAATCAGATGCTTATGAATTCTATAATGTTTGAAAGTTATATATGAGAGTATTAACATCTAAAATTAAAGAAAATGAGAAGATAATTTGTCTAGATTCTGTTCTGCCAGTTAACATATAACTTTTCTTTCAACAGGCTCAGCACTATGTAGCTACAACCTAAAGCCTTCTGAATATACTACATCTTCAAAATCATCTGTTCTTTGCCCCAAACTTCCAGTTCCAGCGAGGTAAATTTTATTGCAAAGTTGTTAACTTGTGACTTGTTTTTATAGGTAAATTTCACATTGTATGTGTTATTCTGAGAAAGGAGTTACTTTGATAACTTGTTCCATTACTTTTACAACAAAATTTTAGAAATAGGAAAAGATATAAAAACATGTATTTATCTTTAGAAAAATGCACACCCAAACAACTTTTCTAGTTCTGTTATTTTACATTTCTTTAGAACCTTACTTTTTTTTAAAATTTTCGTACCATAATTTTCAAATACACAAAACTGCTGAATCATTCTCAAATTTGCAACAGACTTAGAAACCAAGTCTCACAGTCTCCAGAGATCCTTCGAGGTTAATCCTAGTATTACTTCCTGGGATTGCTTTTTAATTTACTTTGTAAATTTAAAAAGCATGCCAGTGACTATTCTCCATACATTGTTTGAAGTTATATCCTTTATGTACGTTCACTGTATTAGGCTGTTTGCCACGCCTTATTCAATAAACATTTATTATTAAGTACCTGCCACATGTGATGGATATAACAGTGATCTCACAGTAGTTAAAGTGAAAGTAAATTTTTAAATTTAAAGTAGATGTAAAAAAAAAAATTCTCAAGCATTGTAGACTATATCCCCAGAATTATGTATGTACGTTTATGGAGGTATATACATGTATGTGTATATACACATATGTGAACACTTGCAAGTATGTCTGATGTTGAGAACCATAGTGTGAACTGCTGACAGAATGGCATGAGAAAACTTCTCTGGGGGGAAACTGACTCTAAGCCACCTTTATTATATCTTAATATATTATAGGGAACAACTGAGTAAAAAATTTTGAGATTTGAAACATGAAAGCAGATCATGTCTACATTTTTTAGGAATATTTATGGCTATAACTTGTGCTTTATTAACTTGAATTTGAAATTTTCTGTTAGTAGGAAAGGGATATATCAGTTAAATTGATTTCTAGCTCTTTTAGTCTTGTGAAGTTGCTATTGAAAATCAAAATTTATAGCCTATAGATATAAAAGTAAAGGGACTATTTTAAGAGATACTCAGTAAAAGGAACCTAAAAATTATGGCCTTAAAGTGACAGGTAAGGAGGTCGAACTCATAAAAATTAAGGATATGAGGAAGGCTGCCGCAGTGAAGCAAAGGAGATCCTTTAAATACAGTTACTGGAGAACATTTATTGATATAAAAATAAGAAAAGCCCTATACACTTATCTACCTAATTGCTACAGTTTGTTTTATCTGTACTTTAAGTATAGAGTCTTTCTTTCAAGACCAAAACACACTGAGGTAGAATAATCAGAAATCCTGGATATGGAAAGAAGGTTGTTCTGCTCCTGGATCATTGTGGGAGGGCCAGGATGGGTGGCTGGGCTCATACTGCAAATCCTCCCCCACTTGGATCTCTGACTCCCCTGTGTTGAGCACTGACTGTTCCTGGTTATCTCAGATATCCCAGTCCTGACTACCCACACACTTCTCACAATATCCTCTAGACATTTACTAGAAGGCAAAGGATGGTATCAGGGGTGTTAAGTTTATAGCTGGATGGACCTGGCTTCTAACAGGGTCATTATGTACCTCACTAATCTAAGACAAAATGCTGAACCTGTACTATCTGCAAACTCACTCCCACTGTGTTCAAAGATCCTTATGTTTTACTTAGTACAGTACCTCCCAGTCGAAGTATCTTAGCACTTTTGTCTGAACTAAGCTTGTTGGAAAGTAAAACAGAAGGAAGACAAATAGAAGCTTGTAAATATAAAAGTTATTTAGCATTTGGCAAACAAAGTGAAAGGATGAGAGAACAAGATAAATTTGTTTTAATAAAAAAAAAAAATTGGAGACACTACCCCATTCTCACATAGCATTAAGCCACCAAGTCTCCAAAAATGAGTAAGACCAGAACTCTGACCTTCAATTCACAGTCTAGTAATGACTGCATTTTTGTTAACATTTTCTAACACCAGGCAAAACTGGTAAGTAGCCCTCAGCATCTTTCACATCTCACACAGGAACTTGAACTTTGAGTCTAGATCAGTATGGCGGTGAATATCACATCACCATTTTCTATTTGTCATCTCAAACAAGACTCAACCTCTCTAAAAAACCAAGGTTTCTTGTGTGTGAAATGGGAATATTCATACTTGTTCTATAGAGTTGAGACTCAATAAGATAATATACATATCTATTATTGTGCTTGGCACTTAGCTTAGGAAGTATCATTTCTCTCAACTTCCAGAGCCAGCAATAGCTGGTTTAGAGAACACAACCATAAACTAATTTGCAATGAAATTCTAATGAGGCATAATAATCAAAAAATTATCATTCCTAAGAGCAGATGCCTAGATAGACCAATATTTTATCCAGATTCATAACTCTTTATTGGTGAAATGCCAAGCATGGTAGCAATATGAACAATAGCTATCCTGTTTATTTGTGATGCTAACTGTTGCAATGCTAACTGTTGCCCACAACCAGAGAAAAACAGCAGAAATAGAAACAGAGTACATAAATTCAGTTTATTCATCATTAGAGTACCTCTGGATGCCAGAAAGGTTACGAGATACTAGGGAATTAATAATATGATATGGAAGCGAAAAATTGACACTCAAGAAAAAATGTTTTTTCATATTTTTAAGTAGAAGATTCAAGAGTAAGTTAATATTTACAAATCATCTACTATGTGCCAGCTAATATACTTTCACTAATATACTTTCACATGCATTATTTAATTTAACCCTCACAAAAGCCTTTACAGATACTGCCCCTAATTTATAGATAAGGAAATGGAAGATGAGGCCAAAGCCACTTTTTTTGTTGTTGTTGTTGCTGTAAATCAGAGTTTGAATTCAGGATCTTGTAGCATCTATACCATAGTTAAGTGTGTTTTTTTTTAAATTTATTTTTTATTTTTTAAGGAGTAGAGGAGTGAAGGAAGGGAAAAAAACAAACAAAATAGAAATGTATGAAAAATCACTGTTTACTGCCATTAAATTCTTATCTTCTTGACTTATTTACTTCCTGCCTTTTGTATTCTATTATAGGAATCTTAATGGAACCCTTTATTGGTATTATTTCTTAAATAAAACTTTTAGCTAGAAACCATGGGTGATTGCTTATTTTTAGCCTGAGATTCTAAAATAATTATATGAGGTACAACTCCTACCTTCTTTTGTGAAGCATATGGACAAGAAATAGTAGACACTCTTTGTCCTTATACTTTAGGGAGTTGATTATCTGTGATAATCTGGTCTTAAAGGCAAATGGATGGTATATTTGCCACTGTAAGATACAATTTGCCCATGATGGTTAATTTTTAAAAATCTTTAAAAGATTCAGTATGAATTCATTTTGTTCTTGTTGACTCATGTTTTAATAATGTGAAACAACATCAGTTCCTAATGGGACTACATTGACTTCTTAAACATTCAATAGTCTGTGCCTTTGAAAGGTAGAAAAACTTACTGTAAATAGAATACTTTATGCTTTTCCTCTTAATTAAGAAGCACAAAATGTGTCATTTAGGTTAGACTCTAAAGTAGAAATGATCTCAAGCACTAAGTTCTCAGCACTATTATTTCCTCAGAGGTCCATGGTATGAGCTAATTCATCTTAAATTCATTAAATCAAATGGGATTTAAATGGTAAAATATAAGAGAGACATTTCAATGCCATGATTACTCACTTTTTTTTTTTTAATAAGAAAATAAATCCAGGGACTGAGGGTGTAGTTCAGTGGTAGCATATATAAGGCCCTGGGTTCAGTTGCCAGCACAGAAAAAAAAAAAAGAAGAAAAAGAAAAAAATTCTTGTTTCAAAATCCCATGGCCTGTAGAGTTGTTTCTTTTTTGGGAAGAAGTGGGAAAAAGAATGACAAACAAGGGAATCTGCTGCTTTTTAGCTAAGCATTTAATTTTCTTTTTGAACAATGTGTTCATATATTCTCTTTTATTTACCTTCAATTTCTGTTATTCGTTAGGACTAAGAGCAGATTTTTACTATAAAATAAACAAAGCAGTTAATCAGCTTGTGCTAATTTTATATCTTTAAACTTAGAGCCGTCAGATTGAATTTTAGAGTCAAAGATTATTGTTATTTTGCCCCAATTCTTTGAAGGATACTTAAAAAAGCACTCTTTCCAAAAGGTCAAGAGTTTATATACATTTTTAAAATGACTCAAAAGGATAAGTTCTGGGCAGATGTTACTCACCATTTCCTCCTAAAGGAAAAGAATTAGGATTTTGAGAATGCAGTCCTTCCCTTTCAAATCAAGGATCTTCATCCTGAGTTTGAAAGGCAGAATATACTGGCTCTGCTGCTCCTATATACTTTTAGAGTCATTGATTTGTAGGTGGTCTCTTTTATGGTGATGATCTGAAGAGACTTACAGAGTACTTACTCCTACCCTTTTAGCAAGCAAATGGACAAATGAAGAAGAAATGGAGTAACACACAGCTCTGCAGTGTTAGGAGAAGGTGGGCTTTTACAGTTATCTGACAGGAAAAAGGAAATGAGTGAGTAGGACCAAGAAAATTAGTGGCATTGTCAACAAGAAATAGACAGCAATATCCTTAAGGTAGACATATTTTATATTTGGGGTTGAAGGCAGGTGAGTGAAGCAGAGGCTTCATCAGAGATGATAAGGTAATATAGACCGATGAAGATTTAGATAATTATGGAGCAGAGAAGAGTTTAGTTTTGAAGAGAGAGACATGCTTTAATTAAAAATAGGGTTAGAGAAGTTCTTAAAGGTGTTAACTTTGCAGAGACAACATCAGAAAAGAAAGTCGTGTTACAACAAAGTTGTCAGTAAAGACTTCTACCCCAAATCAGCCTCCATTAACTGAGAAATTTAGGGTCCTTTTTGATTCTTCTAATTTAATATCTTTTTACATCATTAGCAAAACAACTTTTGATCAAAAGACAATGACTTACCTGCCTGTAAATCAAACATTATACAGAATGGTCTGGCTTCCTGCAGTTTTTAATAAAAAGTCAAATCTTTGGCATTAACTTTCACTAACACCATTTTGGAGCTACTCACAAATCCACAGCCAAGGACATGAGATAATAAATGAATAAATCACATTGTTACATCATCATTTTTGGATACATTTTACTGAAGCATAACTAAAATAAGGCTAAATCTTTCAGTTATTTTGTTTCATGAGTATAAAAGCATAAGATATTTCTTATTCTTACTACTGGTGGTGCTCACTGTCATTTAAGAAAAAACGATAGGTAGTTATTCTCATTCTTATTTGAAAAATTTTTTTTTATTTGAGGGAGGAAAGAAACTGTTTTGTTTCAGGTCAGACAAAGTTGTTTTGCTGAGATTGGAAACCTTGGAATTTGGTATCCAACCACATAATCATATCCACTAATGGACCCAAATACAGTGCCAGCCAAGAACGAGAACACAGTTACATCATTCTAATAAAAAATCTTATGTCAGACCTGCCAGGGCTAGTTCTATGAACAATTCAAAAACTGTGGTTTCATATTAATTATGGCTGCATTTTAACTTAATTCACCCACTAATGCATATCTGTGCACAGACAATGTACGGGTTCTGTTAGAATCTTGACAAGTCACAATGAAGGTGTATCTATAGTCCTTTGTTTAAAATTCTCTCACTGATTAGATGTGTATTGTCCTCTCAGAAGTTGAAGCAGAACCATGTTATTACAAACCAGATTTATGTCACAGCTCATGCACAGTTGTTTCTTTACAAGTCAAAGCTGTAGTCCATGTAAGCTTGGATTAAATGTTAACTGATTAAATAATTGGTTGTTTTCACAGTTTTTTGAACACATATAATCTTGAATTATTAGTTACATATAAAAAGAAAATAAAATGGCACAGAATTCCAGATGTGTCAGATATTTTTCACTTTTATAATATTATTTTTCTTATCCCATTTTTATTAACTTCATAACTCTTTTATGGAGTGATATCATTGTCACTTTAGATATAATTTCCCTTTTGTATTATTAAATTATAAGCATTTCTATACATTAGCTCCCACTGTTATTGTTTTGAGTAGCTGCATATTATGCTGTATGTTGATATGTTGGCATGACTTTGTTTATATAAGAGTTACTGAGGGGCCTGGGACTTGGGCTGTAGCTCAATGGTAGAGTGCTTGCCTAGCACGGTTGAGGCACTGGGTTCAATCCTCAGCACCACATAAAAAGTAAATAAATAAAAATAAAGTTATAAAAATTATATTTAAAAAAGAGTTACTGTGTGCCCTGAACACTTTTATTAATCTGAAATTTTATAATGCTATTTTGTTAGAGAAGACATTCTATTAATGGTGGCACATTTCAAGTACAAGCATGTGTGTTTTTTACTTTTAAATTGCTTATGGCCAAAATTCATTTTCAGTTCAATGAAATATATGTCTGTAAGCTTTGTCATCTGCCTCTTGACTGGTAGATGAGGAGTTTTAAGTGGTTTTGCTTCTGGTAGCTCTGTGTGTGTATGTGTATGTGTGCGTTTCTTTTCAGAAGGGGAGGGTAATGTCTTCTGTTGGAACATGCACTCCACCCTCTTTGATAAGGCTTGTGGTAAGATTGCTTCACTACCCATAACAGTCATCTTCATAGCATTAAGCACATAGCTCTTAGCACCCATAATGATGTGTGGAGGGTGGAGTGTATTGCAGCCATATTCACCTTTCATTTGTGTGTTTGATGTGGCATTTATATTAAGTAGGAGTAATTTTTTTTCTGATTTTTTTTTTCTTGTGTCACCAGTGCACCTATTCCATTCTTCCATCGCTGTGCTCCTGTGAACATTTCCTGCTATGCCAAGTTTGCAGAGGCCCTGATCACCTTTGTCAGTGACAATAGTGTCTTACACAGGCTGATTAGTGGAGTAATGACCAGCAAAGAAATTATATTGGGACTTTGCTTGTTATCACTAGGTAATTGTTTTTCTCATTATTAGCTATTGCATAATACTGCAGTAGAAGACTGTTCTTTTAGCCAAAATATGAATACAACTGGGGATACTTGTAAAATGTTTCACTTCCCATAATCAAAATAATTGTTTCAGATTATATATAATTATAAACATGTACATAAAACTATGTATACATGTATATATATATCTGAAACTTATTTCCCTTTTTTTCTTTCTTTGGGGAAAACTTATTTTTCCAAACTTCGGTGACTCAGTCTATGACTACCTTTAATATGATAGCAGGAGGCTTCTTTTAATGAATCAACAACCCTATGTTTTTGGTTATGATTCTAAAAGGTCTATTTATTTATAAAGAGGCCACCTGTTCTCTTATATATTTACATCTAAGAATATAGATTTCTTACTTTTGAAGTATGTGATTTACTTTTCATTGCTACAGCTCATAGTATCATTATTGCTGGAAAAACTAGGAAATCTCCACTCGTTAGCCACTGAGTTTCTATCAATAAATAGATAATATAATTAACTAAAAATTTCATTTTCAAGGTGAAAGCTCACTATATTAGTCTAGAACTATATGAGGGCGTATTGGAGTTTATAGACCTTAATAGTTGAGAGAAATAACTGGTAGGAACCAACTATTTCATTATGTAAGTTAAATTAGTATTGATGCCTGTTAATAACAATGGTCACTGAGAAGACAAATTATATTTCCTTCTTCCCTGTCATTAGAGAGTTTTTCTTTTTGCTTAGGTAGTACTTGACTCAATTGTAATAATGCTTTCCATATGAAAATCTAATTCTGTGGTATTTGAAGGGCTCCCATCTGTATTTCGTTCCTGTATATTTATTACAAAAGTGAGTACCTTAATAATAGTTCTAGACAGAGATCCTAACCATTTATTTGGGTTTACAAATGGCCCAAAGAAGCTTGACAATTAGTGTAACTTTATGTAAAAAATACCTGGTTTCTAAAACAACTGAATTCATAAAACCAAAAGTAAAATCCGAATCTTAAAAATAGTGACAATAATATTGTGAAGCATCAGAATTCCATTTTTTATTAGAATGATTATCTTTGGAGACTTAATAACATCATATAAACCCAAAATACCTTTGCTCATTTGTTTGTAGATCATTAAAGATATACAAATTATTATTCAGAAATATATTTCCTTTTCAAGGGTTAAATCATCCCTTTCTTTTTTGAGAATTCTACCTATGATTTTAGCACATTGGGAGTTTGGGACAGATAAAGGGGTTGGCTAAGTGACTCAAACTAAACTTTGCTCATTTTTGAGGACAGACTTTTAATCAGTTGAGAAATGAGGTCAGAGGGATTTTGGTCTCATTAGTCTTCAGGATATTATCCTGTAGGGTCATACTCTCCCTTGGAGCTCTGGAGTTAAAGATAAAATGCCAGATAAAGATAAAATGCCATCTAGTATTAACTGACCATCAGAGAAGTTGGTCCTAAAATGCACACATCACTCAAGGCAGTATAGCACTAACTTAACTGATTTCTGTCTACATGTGATAATTTTTCTTGTCACCAACATGACATGTCATTCTCTACACTTTGTCTGCTGGCATGTATGTCTGCATGTCTGATGTTTTCCTCCTGGTGAGTCCACAACAGTCTTGTGCTGTTTTTGAGTCACCAATTGCATTTGCATGAATTCTTTTCTGTAGTTTATAAACCCACACAGTTAGGTGCCTTTGGTTTCAAATGATGCTATTTAAGTGGTACAAGTAGCAAAATCAAAATGCAAGAGCAGCCAGTTTCCTTTCTTACCTAAATTGTGGTCATGAAGTAGTCAATAGCTACAGATTATTTCCCTGGGGTGGGGGGGAACAACAATTAAAAAGCCTTCTCTTTATATTCTATGTTGTCAAGTAATATTCTGCATGTTCTCTATTTATCTTTCCTGCAGTTCTATCCATGATTTTGATGGTGATAATCAGGTATATATCAAGAGTACTTGTGTGGATCTTAACAATTCTGGTCATACTGGGGTCACTTGGTAAGTTATTTATTTTATTGTTTTCATGGTACCTCACTAATTCCATGATAGCAAATGGAAATATAAAGAAAAAAATAGAAATTTTATTTCTACAGGCTATATCTTCTTAAAGCTTTTTTTTTTTTTTTTTTGCCTTAAGAATTTCATAACTATCAGGGGTTGGGGGGCTGGGGTTGTGGCTCAGTGGTAGACCGCTTGCTTTGCACGTGTGAAGCACTGGGTTTGATCCTCAGCACCACATAAAAATAAATAAACAAAATAAAGATATCTACAACTAAAAAAATTTTTTTTAAAGAATTTCATAACTATATTCCCCTCTTTTTCACTGCTGTTACCATTTGAAGTCTAGAACTTTCTCCTATGTATGTATGTATAGGTAGATATAAATGTGTATACACACACACACACACACACACACATCATTTAGGTAAAACTTTTTAGCTGAACATGAAACTCGAACTTTTAGTAAAAATATCTGCCCTCATTTACATTTATAATCCTAACTGCTATCTTTGGTTTTACTGTTGTCATCTGTTTTATGTTTTACTGAAATTTATGCTTTCTTATTTTGTTTTTTCCATCTTTGCTATATGACTGTATTTTCTCTGATTAACTTCACCCTTGCTTTGGGTGATATGTTTTATATTTTTATATTTTTTCTTCTATGATTGGTAACATGTGCTTTCAGAAAAATACTATGTAATCAAGAAATCTATGATTACTAAAGGCTAAAATGTCACATGTTGAGTTTTTCCCTGCCTTTTTAAAATTTAACATAAACTTTTCTTCCTTGTATCCCCTACTCCCTTCTACTTATGCCTACTTTTTAGCCTTGTCAAGTAATCTGAGCTTTTGTATTCAAGTTATTATTACAGTTAAAATATTATTTTCACCATTTTTATCTTAAAAAATTGTTTACATTTGCATTGAAAAGTTTCAGAAATATATTCATATTTAAGTCTTCCTGGACTAGTTTTAGGAACTACTGGTCCTGTTTGCATACACCTTAATTCTTGGATTCTTAACTTTTAATTCATCTTTATATTGACTGGAATTCAAGTAATCTATTTATGGAGGACTTGTGGGCTATGTATGTTCTCAGTTCTTGTTTCTTTAAGATTGCCTTTTCCTTCACATGTGAATTTTGAGTTTGTTTGGTGTAAAATTCTTCAGGCACAATATTGTATCTGTACTTTTATTTCAGAAACGAACTCAGAGACCAGTCTAATTTTTTTTCCTTTACTCATTGCAGGCTTCACCTACCTAGATGTTTATTTGATTTTAATGTAGCCTTATAATTTAAAGATGGTTCTGATCCTGGATCTCAAGATTATCCATAATCTTTTGGGGGAGGATCTTTTTCCAATCTGAAATTTTTTCTTCATCTCTATATTTGATTACCATTTTTGTTTCAGTGTCTTTTTTCTTAAAGTAGTTGTTATTCTTCAACTATTGTCTTCCATATTATCATTTCAATGTTTTTATCATATTCTTTTATATTCAGGAGAGTTCTTCAAGTTTGTTTTCACATTACTGACTTAGTTTTCCACATTATCAGTTCTGTCCCTGGCTTCCTACAATGAGGATCTGAATTTTGTTGTTCCAGTTTTGTTGTATTTGTAGTTCTTCCATCTCTACCACATTTGTTTTCATTTCTGTTTATAGCTGTAGTATCTAATTCTGTGTTTACATGAACAGGTTTTATAATAAATCTTAATTTTGAATCATAACTCTGCCATTTCCTACATACGTAACATTTGGCACATTATTTAACTTTACTAGATTTCAGTTTCATCATTTGTAGACTTAATAATAACTACTTAACAGTACTGTGGTTAAATAAGGTGATAGCCATAAAGTGATTAGCTCACTTTATAGCACCAATCTAAGCATTTGGTGAACATCCCCATGGCTGTAGTGATCAACGTCCCCATCCTCCTTGACATAATCATCATTATCTCATCTGTTTTCCTTGAACTTCAGCTTTCCCCATAACTTTTTATTTCAGTTTATAGAGAACACATTTCCTTCCATTTTTTGAATATGTTACATAGTTTTCCAAACAATTTTCTTGAATCTGCAGGATTTCAGACAGGAAGAAATTTTTTTCACAGACTCCTAATTGTTTTGAATTCTTTATATCTTCGACAGAAGAAAAGTTCATGCTTGGTATTTGTCAACAGGACATGGGTTTTCCCTTTGACCTATTAATTATTTATGTAAATCCAGATGCAGGAAGGTCGATGTGCATGGAGCTTAGCCCAGTTTTTTTGTATCTCCTTGGCATTTATCTTATCCAATGTAAGCTCACAGCTCTGCACTAAATCTTCCTTCCTAATTGTGGCCTACAAGGCCTTTCAGGGTGGTACAGTTCTCTGCCACCTCTTTGCCCACACCTCTAGCACTTTCCCCCTTGCTCACTGCAGATGTCACAGTGGTCTCCTCCTTTCTCTATACTAGCCATGGTCCCACCTCAGAGTCCTAGAACTTTGCCTGTCACATTTTTTCCTTAGATAAGTTCATAGATTGTGCTCTCTCTCTCTCCTCAGGCTTTCAATTCTCTTACACAGACATCACCTTCCAGTGAGACCTTGCTTACCAGTGTTATATAAAATTGCAATGCCCTCCCAACACAAGCACTATCCTTCTTACCAAATTTTTTCCCTTAGACTCAATATACTGTGTTATCACTTGTTTCCTTATGTTTTGTTTCCCTGTTACTATATAAGCTCATGAGCAATGAGAGTGGAGACTTGGTTTTATTTACTCCTCCATCCCCAGATAGAACAGTAAGTGCTTTAGGCTCTCAAAATATCTGCTGAATGGATTGAATGATGGTATATAATTCAGCTTTCTTATATAGAGTTGGGCTTGCCTCCCCCTTCAGTCTGGTTCTCTGAACTATGAGACAGCATTGGAGATGAAATAAATACTTATCCCTGACTCCCACTGCTATCAGATATTTCCTGTTTTTGCCTTTATCCTTGGTAGGAACTATTCCTTTGATCTTCATTTATTCATTGTGCAAACATTGACACAGAATCAGTGGTATGACTATGTATCTATCGGCACTAGGCACGAGGGTTACTATTTACTTTCAGAGGTACCTGTTAACTGGCTGTCTCTCAGCTTCAAAATCAATGATAAATATATGTGGAGTTAGTTTATTTGATACACTGAAAGATTTGTAAATGCTTAATGTGAAAGACAATCATGGAATAATTGGTATTTCCCTAAAGCTGGCAAAAAGTGAGAGCCATATACTTCCCTGTTTAATGATTTGCCATAGCATCAGTGCCATGATGATATGCAGGAAAGGTCCAGAATATTGAGGATTTATGTCACAGATTTTCTTTTGCTCATTATTGCAAAAACAATTTTTTTTTTTCTCCAGGTGGCACAGGTGTACTATGGTGGCTGTATGCAAAACAAAAAAGGTCTCCCAAAGAAACTGTTATTCCTGAACAGCTTCAGATAGCTGAAGACAATCTTCGGGCACTCCTCATCTACGCCATTTCAGCTACAGTGTTCACCGTGAGTACAGGCTCAGGTGTATCTTTCAGTTCTGTTTTTAATAGCAGGTGATCATCAATGAAGCAGAAACTCACCTCTAGCCTTTGCAGTCCTAACCCTGATTGCCATTAGATGAAACTTTTGTCCCACAGTATACAAAATGCTTTCAAGTCTGCCGGAGGCTTCCTTAATTAACGAATGCTCTTTTGATCAACATTTTGCTCTATCCTGTCTGCTTTTTGAGAGATTTCCACTTGGAATTTTTACATTATCACTTACTAAGAATATATTTATTATAGTCATAATATACTTTCTAAAAACCAATTCTCTTAATGGTGTAATAGTATGTTGAGAAATATATCACTATTTACTTGTTCATGAATTATTTTCCCATTTTTTTCCTTTCAAACCTATCTTTTAATGATGTACATTATATCAAAAATATATGTGAGATTCACTGCTCAGGTGTTACATAGTAAAATTATAAATTATCATGTGGTTAAATAATCTGTCTTGTATCTTTAGTTCACTGTTATCTCCTTTCTGAAGAAAGGGGTGGGGGCAATCTATCCATTTCTAGGAGCAATCCCAAGCATTTTATGAGCATCAAAAAAAATAAATAAATAAAGCCACCATAGAACTGTTGTACCAAAAGATAACTTTGTAATCATGAGTTAAGTACAGTTCTGTATGCGAGCTACTAGGGGTAGGGATAGGAGGGGAGGGAGGCAAAGGGTGAATCTGCTGGGACTCCACTTTTATGGAACTCTTGGTCCAGTAACAGACATGAGATACAAATAAATATCTCCCAGACTTTTAGGGTGATGGCATATTGTCCTCTCACCCTTTTTCAGAGTGACAAGAATATACCTATTCAAATGAAGAGTCTCATCTTGACTGATAAATAAACCCATTTTGATGGTAATGAAGGGTAAAGGGAAAGGTAGAGGAACTCTTGGCTTTAATAAATTGAGAAACTTCCTATGGTTAGCTTTAAAGGACACTTTGTAACCATAATACAATTGAGAACCATTACAACTTCAAAAAGAGATCCCAATTTAAAGTGTTCTTGGGATTCAGAAAATGATACTTCCAGGTTTAGGATTAATGATACTCCCAGGGTTAAACTAAACATTTCTACCACTTTCCATTTGTTTCCACTGCAAAATAGTAACTGGACCTTTCCCTCCCTTCTTCCCATTCAGGTTATCTTGTTCCTGATAATGCTGGTTATGCGGAAACGTGTTGCTCTCACCATCGCCTTGTTCCACGTGGCTGGCAAGGTCTTCATTCACCTGCCCCTACTGGTCTTCCAGCCCTTTTGGACTTTCTTTGCTCTTGTCTTGTTTTGGGCATACTGGATCATGACACTTCTTTTTCTTGGCACCACTGGTAAGAAGATGTGTTGCTTCTTTCTCTTAGAGATAAATCTAATTTGCATTCAAATATTCTAAAACATCAGATTGAGATGGGGGTGTGGCTCAGTGATGGAGCATTTTCCTTGCCTGTGTCCAGCCCTGGGGATTCAATCCCCAGCAAAACACACACACACACACACACACACACACAAAATCAGAGAGAGGACTATTTGTAAGTTTGCTGTTAAAGGTCCAATAACCAATAGCAGTGGTATAGGTCTTCAGTAGTCTACTTCTTATTTGTGGTTTTTAGAGCATACTAGCAGTGTGGGTCTAGACCAGGTAAAGTATAAAATTGCAGCTTAGTTTTAAGATGCTCAAGGATTTGAAGTGAGTTCCATACTGGCTTAGCTATCTGGATCCATTCTGAAACAAATTAATGAGTGTAGCACCTCTCTAGAGTTGCTTAAAAGCCCAGTTAGTGCCAAAGACCAACTTGCTCTTTGAGATTTCCAACTTTGGAAATATCCTGAATCTAACTAGGGCTCCTGCAGATGATACGGTTCATAGTTAGACTCTCCGACTTACTGGTAGCTTTATTTAATATCAAAGGCTAAACCTACAAAGAATTAATTATGAGGAGCAGTGTGGGGATAATAAACTTGTGTGCAACTTCTCTTTTCATTCACCACAAGGAATATAATCTTAATTTCTAAACAGTTAATAATTTAGATCTATAACTACTGTAAAAGTCCTAGCTCTGATAACATTTGAAGTGTTTGAAAATTCATGCCTAAATAACAGATAATGTAATAAATAACAACTATATTCAAATAGAACAACTTTGAAAAGCTTTATATGATACCTTTGAGGAAATCAAAATGCTTAATTATGTGTTTAATTTCACATAATTAACCCTTTTAAAGGATCGTTACTTTTGTCTCTTAATGAAATAGCAGTAGAAGCATGAAGTTTGTGGATTACGGGTAGGGATCTATTGTTGGAAATGAGATAAACTTATATTTAATAGCCACATTTTTTGGTTTGTACTTTATATGCCGCCTTTTTCCTTCCTTGACATTTTCCCAGGCAGTGCTGTTCAGAACGAACAAGGCTTTGTGGAGTTCAGAATTTCTGGGCCTCTGCAGTACATGTGGTGGTACCATGTGGTGGGCCTGATTTGGATCAGTGAATTTATTCTAGCATGTCAGCAAATGACTGTGGCAGGAGCTGTGGTGACATACTATTTTACTAGGTGAGAATTTGTGCTTGGAAAACTTGGGTTCACCTAAGTGCTCATGTCTGCGGTGGGGAGGAAAAGGGAACAGGGCTACTTTCACTTCTTTAAAAAAAGTAACTGGAAATGAATATGACAGTGTTGTAGCTGATAATTCTGGGAGGTAGGAAAGTAGAAGGCTATTATTTTATTTTTTACCCTTTTCTATAATTGTCTCTTTATCAGAATAGCAGGTCAGGATATAATTTAGTTTAAAAAAAAGTGAACTTTGTAATAATACCAAATGTACTTTTGTTTTATATAAATGTCCACCAAAGGACTTGTAATTTGTTTGAGTCAGAAGTGTTGTGAGTCCCCTTTGCTGACTTCAGAGCTGAGTATTAAAGCTATAATCTTCACAGTTTTTTATTAAAATGAGGTACCAGATCTATGTTAAACATCTTTTTAAATTCCATTTTCTTATTATATAATTAACTCCTTCAGAATTCATTAATAAAAGCTTTGAAAGCATAGTTTTATTTAACTTAAAGTCATAGAGCATAAGAACCACATGAAACTAGCATAGGGAAATGAAACATTAATTTTACGTGATGTATCCATAGCATTTGCATTAGGAAAATATTACTTTGCCATTTTGTCATAAAGCTGGAATAAGAATAATGAACTGACTTTTCACTGCATTGAGCTTCAAACCATGCTTGTGTTTTCACCCTGGTCTGAGCCTTGTTTTAATTATTTTTTTGGTCATTAAAATAGGGATAAAAGGAACTTGCCATTTACACCTATTCTGGCATCAGTGAATCGCCTTATCCGTTATCACCTGGGTACTGTGGCAAAAGGATCTTTCATTATTACACTAGTCAAAATTCCACGAATGATCCTTATGTACATTCACAGTCAGCTGAAAGGAAAGGTAAGGGGAAAATGTTTTTTCTATGGGGATGTGCCGCACTTCACCTCTCCAGTTAAAGCACCCAGCAATGCTAAAAGTTGTGTGTGACTGTTTTCTTCAGAGTCTTCACACAGTGGAATCTAGTTCTTCCTCCTTGTTTCCCTTCATGCACTCTGTATGCTCTGGCAGAATTCATCAAATCACTGGTCATCAAGCGCATCCTGTGCTTCTCTTGTGTTGACTCATTCACTTTCCTCCTTAGATCTTCTTCCCTATCCGTTTTTTTGTTTTTTTTTTGGTACCAGATATTGAATTCAGGGGCACTCAACCACTGAGCCACATCCCCAGCCATATTTTGTATTTTATTTAGAGACAGGGTCTCACTGAGTTGCTTAGCACCTTGCTTTTGCTGAAGCTGGCTTTGAACTTATGACCTTCCTGCCTCAGCCTCCTAAGCCACTGGGATGACAAGTGTACAACACCGTGCCTGGCTCCCAGCCCTTTGATTTGTTTGTTTGTTTGTTAGTTTGTTTTTGAGATAGTATCTTGCTAAATTGTTTAAGATATTGACAAGTTACTGAGGCTGGCTTCGAACTTGGAATTCTCCTGACTCAGCCTTCCAAGCCACCAGGATTACAGGCCCTGTTTTTCTTTTTAATTTTTTTATGAGGTGTATAGTGTGATCCTTTGATACATTTATACATTGTGTAATATGCATGTCCATGTGTTCAGCATATTTGTCACCTCATATGTTTATTGTGTAGTAAGAACTTTCAAAATCATCTCTTCTAGCTGTTTTGAAATATCCCATATGATATTGTTAACTATAGTCTCCCTGCTATATAGTAGAACACTAGGAGCTGGTCCTTCTATCCAACAGTAACTTTACACCTACTGATCAACTCTACTAGAAGGAAACAGGAGATGCCCATGACATTGGTTTCTGGGCAAGAATTTGTTAGATAAGGCCCCAAAAGCAAAAATTAACAAATGGGATTACCACAAACTACAAAAGCTTCTGCACAGCAAAGGAAACACAATAGAATGAAGAGACAGTCTACGGAATAGAATGAAATATTTGCAAACTATACATCTGACAATGGGTTAATATCCAGAATATATAAGGAATTCCCTGTCGTTAACTGAGAAAATAGCATGCAATTCAACATAGTTTTGCTCAAATGCTACCTCTCCCTGGAAACCTTTCCTGATTCTCTCCATCTCCCATGCAATATTCATATTCCACCCCCCCCCCTCTTCATTTTCCACTGTAACACTTAGTATTTTTACCATATTCTGTTTCTAACCTTATATGCTTAGTGTTTTCTTCTCCTGGTAGATTGTAAGTCCCTGGTAGCTTTCCATACCTCACTGTATCATATATGCAATGAGGACTACAAGAATGTTGAATTAATTAAAAACAATTCAGCCATTCTGTTTTCAAGAAGATAAGGGTAGATGTGGAGGTTTTGAAGTTAATTTGTAATTCTTAAATTTTATTTACATTTATTTTTCTAACATTTGAAGTCTTCTATATGATGGTTTGGTTGTTTTATTTTTTTAATTATTTCACTTTTTTCCCTCTGTCCAGGAAAATGCTTGTGCACGATGTATACTGAAGTCTTGCATTTGTTGCCTTTGGTGTCTTGAAAAGTGCCTAAATTATTTAAATCAGGTAAAATATTTTAAATCTTTCACTTTCAAAAGTAGATTGTTGTTTCTGCTCCCAAGATTAAATGATTGAGCTTAACTGAAAGATGTTGTTTTTTTGTGGTATTATATTGTACATGTTACTTGATCAAATATAGACATACTTGAATCCTGTTCTTCTTTTTTACATTACTATGTGTTCTTACCAGGTTCATTATTATATTAATCTTAATTTCATTTATGAATAAAATGTCATTAAGGTTTTTTTCTGAGACATTTATCTCTTAACAATTCACATGCTTTTTAAATATTATCTAAGAATCTTTACTCTGTCATTCTTGAATTATTTTAAATGTTGTTTGAAAGCTTTAGTTTAGTGTAAAGCTATTGAGGCATTTGTTTCTTTTTTGCAATTATCTACTATCATTCAAAACCAGTGTGTTGTCTGTTGCTCCTTTTTTTTTTTTTTTTGGTTCCAACTGCTAAGCACTGTGATGTTTACCAGAGAAATATTATCAAAGAAGTGCTGTTTCTAAGGTTGAGTGGAATTGATACATATGGGACACTTATAGTTCTTGGGAGAGTAGGTTGACTCTCTGTCATTCTATATTTGAGCATGTAGGATTAGCTGTGGAATACTCCCCTTTCCCTCCCTCCCTGTCTCTCTCTCTCTGTCTCTTTCCCATTCCCTAAAAATCAATTCTAATGTATTGATGCCCTCATCTAATAAGCCAAAGACAAAATTGACTTTCTCACCATTTACCTCTAATGATTGATTTTCCCACCACTTAGCTCTAGCATTGCACTTTCTATTCACTCCAGGATAGCTGAAAGGATGCCAATCCTGGAGCCCTGGTATTGAGCATGCCTGGACTTTGCTTTATTGGGCTGTATGGTTAATACAAGAACATAGGTATGACATTTTATTAGCAAAATACATATTTTCTATGGATAAACAAGAGTTTGGAATCTCATTTTAAAATAATAGTAACACCCATAACAACCTGAAAAATTATTCTTTGAAGTTTGGTTTGAGGCCAAGTTATCCTTATCAAAAAGTTGATAGATTCACTAAAAATCATCATCACTACATTTTATATCTGTCTTACCCTCAGAGAGGCCAATTCCTGCCTCCTTGGCTCAGTTCCTACTACCTTTCCCAGGCACCCTTTGCTTTCGCAGTTTCCCAGATGTGCCTGGAATGAATTCCTTCCAACAGCTGATCAGCTCCTACTGAGCTTTAATGACTATGCCTGAGCAACACCTCCAAGAAGCTTTCCCTCATCACCCAGCCCCTCCACAGCTTCCAAGACACCAGTTCAACCCCATGAAAATACTGGGAAATTAGAATTATCTGTTCCTTCTTTATTGTCACTTTAGACTTTCATCTCCTTAAAGGCAGGAATCTTATTTTTTTATCTTCCCAGAAGCTAACACAGTTCCTGGTACACAGTTCCTGGTCTTTGTTTTCTGAATGAATTATGAGTTTTACTAGTGAATATTTGGTTTCAAAAAGACTAACAGGGTGACACAAAACTACAAATAAGAATCTCAAAAGGAGATATGCAGTTATACTGAAGGAAGGAAACGTAACATCAAGCTAATCAGTAACCAGATAGATAAAAGAATTTAGAGTTTCCAGCATATCTCTAAGCTAAAGGTTAGTCGCTGACTTAGTACTGAAGTCTTATGAGGCTGGTCTTTCTTGTACCAGTTTTGTCCATTTTGGATCTTCATTTTGTAGGTATGATGTTTGAGGTTTGAAAGGAAGCATTGAAATAGTAATCAAACCCGTGAACAATGATTTAGGGAGAATTCCGAACTCTTAGTAGTTCTTTTGGGGAACATGAAATACTACAGTGTGGGGACTGCTCATAAGAAAGGTTTCATTCAAAATGTGGTCAATATATTAGAAAACTTCCTGCCACAACAGGTTGAGAGCATAGAAATGAGTTGCCCATAGAATGTTTTAAACCACCTTTCTATGAAATGTTTCCCAGCTAGGTGAGCATCCACCAGCTAACTTTATTAAGTGTTTGCCGTGTGCCGGGTTCTGTGCCTTATGCTCCACATGCAGCATCTCCCGTTTAGAATTCTGTTTTGTTTTTGGAAGATGAGTAATGATGAGTTAATGTCCCTTCATGTTTCCTCCTGTCCTCTCTTTTGCTGTGTCTTCTGAGGCTTTCAGAAGGCTTGAGCGGGTGAAAATCCAGACACATGCAAGGCCTAGTTGAGGTAATATCATGGACGAAACAGGCAGAGATCTAAGATAATGGAGTTGGCTAGAGACCGTGGTTAATTGGAGAGCTCATGTTCCCTCTGAGGTAGACAATCAATGCACCAGTCTCACAGACTGCGGCAATGTGAGAATTTATAGACAATTTATTTCTTTTCTAATATTTTTAGAATTCCAAAAGTCTATGTTTTGCCTCCTGCTATTAAAATGTTGATAAAAAACAAACTGAGGGCACCAGAGTAAATAGATGTTAGGGCTACACAATATGTGTTATCCAGGGGCCACCAGTTCGCTGCCACTGCTCTAGAGAGTTTACAGGATAGTCGTAGAGAAGAGTGTTGATAGGCCTTTTGTTGTTTATAATAAAGGTGCTAGATTTTGCAAACACAGAGTGAACTGTGAACTGCTCTTTGTTCTGCAGGTGCATAATATGACACAAAAGTGATGATATATCTAGTCTAACAGAATTCACTTTAGGTAGAGAGATTGTTACAACCATAATGTGTTTTTTTCTGGGCATTGGATCACGCAGGCCTTGTTTTATTTTGCCATTTGTAGATAGTACCTTCAACATTGGAGGGTATCTATTCTCTCACTTATGAGCTCTTAATTTTATAAAGCTTTTCTCTACATAGTGTAGAGCAGGAGTTACAGAGAATGTGTTTTTAGTAGACTGCATACCTGGTGCTACACTAAATACTTTATAATACATTATCAATTTCCACAACTCTGTGAGGCAGGCATTATTTCCTTTATCATACATGGGAAAATTAAAACAGGCATCTTGTAACAGATCACATGACCTAGAGGTAGAGGAAGTTTCAAATCCAAGTTTGCAGTTCTTTCCTTTATGTCACACTGCCTTCCACCTTTATGCACCTTTATGTATACACACACACACACACACACACACACACAAGTTCAGCATAGAGAATATTCAAACTTTCATCAATTTTCATATCAAATTTTCATGTTTCAAACTGAGACAAGTAATGAATTTAAAGAACATTTAATTAAGGTTTGTATTTTAGTTAGCTTTTTCATCACTGTGACCAAAAGACCTGATAAGAACCATTTAGGAAAAGAAAAGTTAATTTTGGCTCACAATTTCAGAGGTTCAGTTCATCATCAGCTGACTCCATAGCTCTGGGCACAAGGTGAGGTAGAACATCATGGCGGAAGGGTGTAGTAGAAGAGCGCTGGTCAGTTTATGACAGCTGGGAAGCAGAGAGAGCTCCACTCACCAGAGACAAAATATAAACCCCAAAGGCGTGCCACTCCCCCAACCTACTTCCTTTAGCCACACCCTATCAACTACAGTTACCACCAGTTAATCCTTATCAGTGCATTAATCCACTGATCAGGTTACACCTGTAATCATCTAATCATTTCACCTTTGAAAATTCTTGCATTTTCTCACACATGAGCTTTTGGGAGAATACCTCATATCTATAAGTGATAACATACTTTTGGCAACATACTTTTAATTCTCATGATCTTTAAAAAGGTCTAAGAACTTTTTTAAAGTCTAAGAATTTGAACAAAACTTTTATTAAACCCTTTGGTGTGGGCTTGCTGTCATACCCTATTTCAGTCCATTTGGGCTCCAGTAACAAAATATCGTGAACTAAATATTTTGTCTACAACAGAAACATGTTCCTCACAGGTTGAGAAACTGAGAAGTCTAAGATCAGGGCAGTGGCTGATTTGGTGCCCTATGAGACCAATTTCCTGGTTCATATATTCCACCTTCTGGCTGTGTCCACACATCGTGGAAGAAACAAGACAGCTCTCTAAGGCCTCTTTTCTGAGGGTGTTAATCCCATTGGTTCACCTTTACCTTCCAGTGCCATCACTTTGATGATTAGGTTTCAACTTATGAAGAGTTTAGGGGAGAGCTCAGGTGTTCAGACCATAACATGGCCCTCCATCCCTGGTTCCAAATAAGAAAGGAATGTTTGTAGTTCACTTTCCTCAATTTATAAGAATCCACATAGGAGTTGCCCATATTGTATTCTCCTTTTCTTACCACTGCTGTCCAACTTTCCCCTCTAAAGGGAGTCATTATGTAAGTATTTTAAACTTTAAGAGAGTTTCTGTGTCCTTCAGTGATGAAAGAAAAGGTGTGGAAATTGTGCTCTGGGACAGGTGTCCAATAGTCTTGATTATCTGCATGGAGACCCTTTGCCTCAACAATTTTTTCCACAAAACCATAACTTTTCCTCTAAACTTTGTCATGCAAAAATACTACCAGGGGTCACTGGGGATCATGCATTCTTTTTAAAAAGATTCCTGGATGATGGTCATCCTTTATCTCACTTCTGGGATTTCGGTGATCTCAAGCCTGAGTGCTGCCTGAGAAGATCTTTGGTGTGGGCTAAATGTTGAGCTGATGCTTCTCAGGAGCAGTTTAGCTCAGGTTAAGGAAGGCTGCTGAGAAAATAGGTGGACTATCAAAAAATAGTCTGCAGAAAGCTCAGAGAACAGTTATCAGGGAAAACCACTCAGAACTTCTTGAGAACCTTAGCCTGAACCCTTTTAGACTAGGAGGTATAGAAACAGAGAAATTTCTTTGTCCTGCTTGTGATCTGTAGCACATTTTTCTTCCTGAAGAGATCATCTTGACTTTTGTGTATTTCACACAGCTCATCTTCCTGCCCTGGGAGTAAGTGAAAGAACTAGCAAAATAATTACTGACTTTTTTTTCAGTTAGGTGGTGCACAGAATGGCAGAATTAATGCCAATATGGTTAAATTCCTGTAAGAGTATCCTACCCTGGAACTTGCGGGTAGAGAAAAGGCATTATGGAAGCTTCCTTCCTGTCTACAAATAAATAGGCTTCTGCTCCAAAAACAGATAGGATTCAGCAGGATGCGGGGGAAAGAAAGAAGCAAAGGGAAGAATAATAATTCTCAGATGAACTCAGAACCTTTTATGCCGAAGTCTGGCTGGGCACAAATGCCGCAGTCTGGCTGGGCACACAATCACGAGCCACCACACAGCTTGTAGATTCAAACAGCAACTCTTTATTCCCGAACTCACACCAGCCGTCTACAATCACGTTCTGGGGAAATCCACGTTCTCTTCCCAAATCCACATTCTCTGCCCAAATTCACGTTCTCTGCCCAAAATCCCCTCCACTGGGCTTCTATCTCCAAAATATACTGTCTGAATCCCGTGAGAACTCAAGGGGAACTCAGGCAGCAGGATACGCCCTATTCCCAGCAGGAATAATCTTAAACCTTAAACCTGGAACCTAAACCGGGAACGCCCTAAACACGATTATCTTAAAACCGGGAACACCCTAATCTGCCTTGGTCCTTGAGCAAGGTCACTTATATTCAATGTCACTGCAACATGTCAGCAACATGGGGTACGCTGGCAAGGAAATTGTCATACCTACTTGGCTAATGGCTCCCAGCACTTTTATAGTTTAGTTAGAAAGGGTTAGGCCCCCTGCTGAAGTCAGCTGGCCAGAGATAAGAGGAGAGAGAATGGGGGTGCCTGTATCTTCTTTTGCTTCTGTCTCCAGTTTCCAGGAGGCTCTTGGTGAACCTGGAAAGGGTAAACAGCACAATGAGAATGGGTTGTTCCTCATTTGGAGTTTGGTTTAAATAGGTCATCCCATTTCCTTGAGTCTGGACATAATGATACTTTTTTTTTTTTTTTTTTTTTTTTTTTTTTTTTTTTTTTTTTTTAAAGAGAGGAGGGGGGGGGAGAGAGAGAGAGAGAGAGAGAGAGAGAGAATTTATTTATTTATTTTTAGTTTTTCGGCGGACACAAACATCTTTGTTTGTATGTGGTGCTGAGGATCGAACCCGGGCCGCACGCATGCCAGACGAGCGCGCTACCGCTTGAGCCACATCCCGAGCCCAATGATACTTTTAATATTAGGAAGTATCTCAGAATCGATATAAATAGTAAATATGATAGGGTATTTTCTGCCTGAAAACCTGTTATTAATAACTGGTTCATTAGTCCTATGGAAAATAAGGAGTTGACATCCCTGATCATTAAAGAGCTCTGTCAGTTAAATTGTTAAACTAAAGAATTACTGTGGAAGATGCTAAAAGACTGGATGTTGTGGAGGAAGTTATTTAAACCTGAAATGAGCACATGTGGTTTGTATTTTTAAAAGGATAAGAAGGTGGTCCCACTGTAAATGAGATTGATATTGATCTTTGGTAGAACAGAGGTCAGCAGATTTTTCTCTGTGAAGGACCAGAAAGTAAATACTGTGGCTTTATGGGCCACATGGCCTCTCACATCTGCTCAGTTTTGCCTTTGTAGCCTGAAAGCAAGCATCAAGAGCATGTAAACAAATGAGCGGGCCTGTGATCTAGGAAAACTGTATTTACAAAAGCAGTCAGCAGGCCAGATATGGCCCGCAGGTGGTGGTTTGACCATCCCTGCTCCAGAATAAATTGGTAAATGGGTATTTTTGTGAGTACTTAGGAAACTAGTGAGAGCTGGGAACTGTTCTGTGTTCTTTGAGAATAGGTCTGGCTAGGGCAGTTCTTCTTCAGCGTTTTTTTTTCAGCAGGGTTACTGTTACACAAGATCAAAAGTATAGTTTATTTTTACATCACTGAGGCATTTTGCAGAATGTTTCAAAAGAAGTTTTTGTACCAGTTGGAAAAAATGTGGAGCACTGAAGTTTTATGTAGTTAACTGTTTGTTCCCTCCTATCTATAAAAGAAGCACTGGCAGATGACAATACAAAGGAGTAAGCAGTGAATGAATGCTAACAGAAAAGCTTGATAGTATGATTTCTTAAAAATAGTTTATATGTTAGCTTTTCAAATAAAAAGACCTAGAAATGTAATATAGTAACATTCTGATAGTAAATTACCCTAATTTATACAATTACACTGTGATTCTCAAAGAAGGCTATAATTTTCTACTGTTCAATTTCTGAAAAAAAAAAAGTTTAAGGACCACAGTTAGTGACCTGTTCAGTACGGTTCTCTTCACTTGGCTCTGAAATGTATTTCATTTTTCATCAGCGAATTTTATCATCTAATGGCAAATTAAATTTTTAACAACCAAAACATCTTCATACAGGTTCATAATAACTAACAAGCATACAATTAGAATACTCATAAGTTAAAGACTTTGTCTTCCAAGATTCAGTATTAAAAGTTTAATAGGCAGCACAGTATGAAATAAACCCTCAAGTCTAGCAGTTTCCCATCAATTACAATAGTTTGCCCATACTAATCATTTAAGTCAGCACTAACCCAAAAATTCCTCAGGACCAAAAGTTTTAATCACTAAGTCCACATACTCTCTCTTCTGAAGACTCAGATGGATTTGAGGTAGTGGTACTTCTTTACATTTTCCAGAAATTAGCAATGCAATTCTACTTTCAGAAAATAAAATGTCTTGCAATAAAAATAAGAGTCTGTAACCAGTGGTTCAAATAGACAAGGGCTACAGAAGCAAGTGTAATTAATGAAAGTTTGTCAATTGGGACTTGGTATTCTACAAGACAGAATGCCCATCTCAATCTAGCCTAAGCAAGGGAATGATATTATTATTATTATTATTGTTATTATTATTACTATTATTGTTGTTTTTCAGCAGCAGCAATATATTAGCTTCTATACTCAAAAAGTCCAGAAAGCTGGCTAGTTTCCCAGCTTTCTGGGGGATGCAAATACTGTCACCAGATTCAAGTACCCAGATTCTCTGCTCTTGACTTCAGCCTCAGTTTCACACTGTGACCTCCAATAGCTTTTCCTGTTAGTTGGCAAAACAACTATGCCCATTATACTTCACCCCTTTCAGGCAACCCATGCCTGTGGAGGTGAAAGGAACCCTCTTTTTCCCAGAAGTCTCAGGGACCATCTTTTTTACCTCATTGACTCTGACTACTTATGTAATGACAGTCTGACATTTGGCCAGGTGGGCAGAGCACACTGATTGGCTCATATCAGTGACCACCCATGCTCTGAGCTGGAGAGGGAGTCAACCCCACTTAGACTCATCAGGAAGGGCTATTTTCTCAAATGAGGTCTGGGGTCCTGTTCCCAGGATGGAGAGGAGTATAAAGTGTCAGGCATGAAATAGCTGTCTACTGTAGGGCCATGAGAAGCAAGAGTATAGAGGAAAGCCACCAAGGAGAAGACGATGGGTATTCTGGATAAAACCACACACTGATCTGATGCTCGTACTTACCGCTGCCATTTATAAAGCATCACTGAAATGGTTTAAGTGTGTCACTGATATTCATAATCATGAACCTGAGACATCTAGGAAAGATTAAATTATGTTTGATTTACTAAGATGGGGAAGAGGTTAATGGATGTTAGAAAGGTTTGTGTATGTTTTAATAAATAACTTTTTAAAGGGCCGAAACTAAGCTAACTGGAAAGCTCTTTTTATCACATCAGGTGTTTTTCCCCAGTGTTTCATATTTCTTTGTGCTCAGTCTCAATTTGTACCTCATGGATTTGACTCCAAAGTACTCTTAAAAGCTGTGTTTTAACTATGCAAGGTTTATGTCTTTAAAAAGTCAGTTTATTATTGAAATACTGTGTTTTCTTTTGTCCAGAATGCTTATACAGCCACAGCTATCAACAGCACCAACTTCTGCACCTCAGCAAAGGACGCCTTTGTCATTCTGGTGGAGAACGCTTTGCGAGTGGCTGCCATCAACACAGTGGGAGACTTCATGCTATTCCTAGGCAAGGTAAGACCAAGTGTATTGTCTGAGTAAACTTTTTACAAAAATGTGCCTTTTAGTTTAAAAATTCCCTACCTCCCCCACAAAAAAACTAACCCAACTAAAAGTACTTAAACCAAAGCATGCACTTACAAAGTCTTTAATATGCATCAGATACTTTTCTATGTCCTTTACATGTATTATGTTTATTTAATCCTCACAACAAATTTATATTCTAAGTACTGTTATTCTTGTTGGGGGGACAGAGACACAGTGAGGCTAAGTATCTTGCCTTACATATTTTGTGTGTCACCTTACATATTTTAAACAATATAGAATTCAGAAACAGTGGATTAAGGGTAGCACTCCATCTGGAGCCCAACTTCCAGGCTTTCAGTCTTCACTCTGTCACTTACTAGCTGTTTGACTTGAGGCAATGACATAACCTCTCTGTGCCTCAGTTTGCCCATTTGTAAAATTAGGATGATAATAGAGCCCAACTCCTAGAGTTGTGAAGATTAGACTGGTTCATACACATAGAGTGTCTAGGACACTGCTTGACACATTGTACATTTTTAGTGAATTTTAGCAGTTTTCCATGACTGTTAGCTATTGCTGTTGTTACTGTATATAAACCCTTTTAAAATTGAACTGTTAGGGAATAAGGCTTCTACTTTCCTTATAAGTGTCTAAGAAGAGAAAATTTATTCCATACTATTAAAATCTGCAAAATAATAAATAGCATTCATTATAATTCAATTTCATTGTAGCTATTATTTCCAACCATAAAATAGAAAATTTTTGAAAAAAAATGAGGAAAGAATAAGACTTGCAACATCTCCACCATAATCTGCTGACTCTTACCTTACCATTTCTGTATATCACCTCCAGTGTTACTTCATGGGCTTTTATCCTACAGTACAAAAATCATAACATACATATCTGTCTGTCCTACCCTTTTTACTACACAGTGTATCATATACATTTTCTAGCTTGCGTTGATAATCTTCCTAGTTCCTCATTATCATTATGGTCCATATTCCATCAAATGCTCTTTTTAAACCATCTCTTACTAATGAACACTGAGGTCACTCCAGCTACTGCATTTTTAAAATTTTTTTTGAAATAAAAAAAAATCTTTGGTATGGAAAACCAAAGCACTGTGTAGTGTGAAGTGAGTAGGATTGCAGGCAACTTTCCTCTGAAAAGAAGAAGAAATGACAGATAATTATTTTTGAAAATTTGTGATTAAATTTATATTATAGCCAATTTGTTCTTATTGTGTTTTTACGTGGAAGAAAATTTTTACAGTAAAGATAGAATGAATTAATCTGAGTTAAGAATTGGGAACATCTGACACTGTTACTGTTATTGTTTATGTGCTTTCTGTTTAATTCAGAAAGGCTTCAGATTCTTTATTTTTAAACATATTTATAATCTGTCTCTAGAGCTAAGAAGGAGATGAAGCAAAATAGAATAAAAAACATGTATGTACGTGGCATTTTTTTTTTTAAGAGAAAAACCATTAAGAAGGAAAGGGAGAATATTCTAGTAAGTGGCAATACCAGTGATGGTGGTGATTTTCATAAGCTCTGATTGAGGCGCTTCCAGCCACTAGGCACTGAGCGAGGAGCTTTAATGAACGCAGCACTGGCCCTCCCTGTGAGACGGGCTTCATTTTATAGCAGAGGAAACCAAAGTTCAGAGACAGAATTAAATTGGCCAGATTTAGAGAACTGGGACATGGCAGAACCAGAGTCCACTCAGGTTTGTCTGACTTCCGAGATTAATCACTGTGTGCTATAATTGCCTCAGCAGACATTAAATTTGCCCTCAAACCTTCCCCCCAACACTTTTCTTTTTCTTTCTTCTTTTTAGTCAATAATTTTGATAGTGGTAAACTACCCCAGAAAGTAATTCTAAATATTTAAAAAAGGGTAAAAAAAGGTGTTATATATAATAGTATAAGAGTGACCAATTGTAAATAATCTGAAGCCTAATAGTAGGGAATTGGTTAGGTATAATAGTCTGATGGCTGTTATTCACCTATTAAGCCATGTTTCATTATGAGTTTGTAGTATGAAGAAGAAGTGCCTATAATATAGTAAGTGAAAAAAACTGAGTAAAATTATAGTAAGACTATCACAGTACTGTTTAAAAATGTGTACAAGGGGCTAGAGTTGTGGCTCACTGGTAGAGCACTCACATAGCATGTATGAGGCATTGGGTTTGATTCTCAGCACTGCATATAAATAAATAAAAATAAAGGTCCACCAACAACTTAAAAAAATAAAACCTAAAAGTCTTTAAAAAAGAAAATGTGTATAAGGACTGGAGATATAGTTCATACCTAGCATGCATGAGGCCCTGGATTTGATCCCTAGCAAAACCCTCCCCCCCAAAAAAAATAGTTAATTAATTAAAATTAAAATATGCATAAGAAAAATAATGAAAATTAATATCACAAATGTTAACAACAACTACCTTTGGAAATAAGGATAACTCAAGCCCCTTCCCTTATTTTACCACATTGAGTGTGCATTCTTTTTATAATGAAAAAATATAGAAGATAAAATATAATGTTTTAAAGTTGCCTTTGAGTTTTTCAATAGTCTATTACTTGTTGGTCAGAATTTTTCCTATAGATTTTTAATATCCTTTTATTCATTCAACAATATTAAGTGTTTACTAGTAAATGCTATGGGCTATTCTGGGTGCCAATTATATATTAGTCAATAAATTTGATTTAAAACTTGTGGAAAAGGAAATTATATTCTTGCTTTCACTTGGTATTGTATTTGAACATTTTCTGTTATACTGAAATTTTTCTAACCATAGTTGTACATCTATTGTTTCATTTATTTAATCTATCCTCTGGTTTGTTTTGCAGCTAAAATGTTCCTAATATTTTACTAATATACACTGCAGTGAAACATCCTTGCCCACATCAATTCTGGCTTCTTTGAATCATAAAATCCTACAGTTGGAATTAATTGGAGTTCTTGGCATGCATTGCTAAATTGCTTTCCAGAAAGATATAAACATGATATTAATAACATCATTGAAAAGGACTTTAAAAACCATTAAAGATTAATTTTTATTTAAAAAAAATCCAAAAAGAAGAAAACTAAAAGGAAAAAAATACCTTCTGGTTTCTAACATACTAAGATAAGATTATTTAGTTTTCCCTTTTTTAGGAATATACTTCTGATTATAGAATCCAGTAAATCTTATGAAAAGAGTTTCTTTTATTACAGTTGAATGGCTGCTAGTGTGCAGAAGTATTTTCTGAGCAGGAAGCCATAGTGAACATTATAAAAGATAAATGCCAGGAGCCTCACTATTGATACTTACAGCAACTTGAATGAATCTTGAGAGAATTAGGCTAAGTGAAAAAAAAATCCAATTCCCAAAGATTAATACTGTATGATTCCATTTGTGTAACATATTGAAATGACAACATTGTGAGAATGGATCTGTGTTCGTCCACAATAGGGATAGCTGTAAAAGGGCAGAGAGCAGGATCCCTGTGATGCTGTGGGTATTCAATCTGTATCTTGACTGTGTCAGCCTCAGTATTGGTGGTGATATTGAAGGGAACTGGGTGAGTCATACATGGAATCACTCTGTTACTTCTTACAGTGGCAGTTGGATTCACCATTACCTTAAAACTTAAAATCCAATTTTAAAAACTTTAAAATCCAAAACAGAACAAAAAAGTAATGTCATAGGTTCCATTTCTATGGAGCACCAATGATTTTTATGGAAGAGTGAATTAGATTTAGAAGAAACCATAGGTCCTCTAGGTTTGCATAAGAAAAGAAATTTATAAGCTCTTAAATATTTCTAAATCCAAAAATATATTGATATTTGCCCCCAGTAAAGCTATCCCTCCAAAAAGACAAAATGTCATTTTCTTCTGTGTAAAAGTATTTTACCTCTATCTGGTAAAATCTTTCCTCACATTAATTATACCTTCTAATTGACAAGTTACTTGACTTGGATTAATAAAAATGAGAATGTGGCCGGACACGGTGGCACACATCTGTAATCACAGCGGCTTAGGAGGCTAAGGCAGAAGGATTGAGAGTTCAAAGCCAGCCTCAGCAACTTAGTGAGGCACTTACCAACTCAGCAAGATCCTGTATCTAAATAAATTTTTTTTTAAAGAGAGAGTGAGAGAGAGAGAATTTTAATATTTATTTTTTAGTATTTGACGGACACAACATCTTTGTTTGTATGTGGTAATGAGGATCGAACCCAGGCCGCACGCATGCCAGGCGAGCGCGCTACCGCTTGAGCCACATCCCCAGCCCTAAATAAAATATTTTAAAAAGGGGCTGGGGAAGTGGCTCAGTGGTTAAACACCCCTGGGTTCAATCCCCGATACCAAAAAAAAAGAGAGAATATGAATTATTACTTATAGGTGCTAGTTTATTGTAAACAAAATGTTTCAAAATACAGGTTCCAAGATGAAAGAATATCATAAATATAGGACTTATGGTGGCAAAAAAAGAAAGGGATGGAGGGACAAATATTGCCAGGCATTGAGTTAAATGCTGTTGTAATCATGGGATATGTATATTGTTGTCTCTTTTGAAGATGGAAAAATAGGATCAGAAAGGTTAAATGAACTTGCTTAAAGTCACAAAGTTAAAGTAATAACTCAAATAATTCAAACCTACATCTGTAAAACTCTAAAACTAGCATCCTCTCTCCTTCCTGATTCTTACACCCTACCCTGTATTTGAATCTCTTCTGCTGTATCCCCAATAACTTGTCCTCTATAACAGGAGTACCTCAACTTTTAAAATCACATGCCCTATTAGATAACGAATTTGAGCACAATTCCCCAACACATTTACCTTTATTTATTGGTGACATGTACACAGCTCCTACTAATTGGTGCATTATAAAGCATACTAAAAAAGGAAATTTTAAATGTATGAGAAATAGAAATAGAAGTTCCAGATGATTCTGTTGAATACATGTTAGAGCACATGTACCCCATCGTGGAGATCACAGATCTAGACCAGCATTTCTTGAGATATATGCTGTGTACCTTATCAGTGCCTGAGATATTTTTCAAATGCATTTTGCTGGGCTTTATTTTTTTTTTTTTTTTTTTTTTTTTTTAAAGAGAGAGTGGGGGGAGAGAGAGAGAGAGAGAATTTTTTAATATTTATTTTTTAGTTCTCGGCTGACACAACATCTTTGTTTGTACGTGGTGCTGAGGATCGAACCCGGGCCGCACGCATGCCAGGCGAGCGCGCTACCGCTTGAGCCACATCCCCAGCCCAGCTGGGCTTTATTTCACATTCAATGAATCAGACTCTTGGGTTCAGAGTCCAGAAATCTGCATTCCTAGCTTCTCTATAGTTTGAGAACCATTATTATATCCTGCTTCAATAAATGCATGACATACATTTCTTTGACTTTTTTACCTAACCATCACTGGTTCTTGAAGTTGTTTCTCACATGACATAATATCCAGGCTTCAATCTCAATTTTTGTCTCATCTACTTTGTTTGAGCCACACCTTCTTCCTATAGTTGACTTTAGCATTTCCAATGTGGTTTGACTTTTAGGAGCATCATAAGGGCATAAAGAACCCCAGCCCTCTAATAGGGTAGATATATAAAACTTAAAGACAGTATAAGAAATAACTCATTCTAAAATTGAAACCACAAGAGGGAACGCAAATGAATGTAATTAACCATCTGTGAAAACCACCCCAGAAAATAAGCCACTGTAAGAGGTGATTCATAGGTATATTGCCGTCCCTCCCTGGTGGTCTAGTGGCTAGGATTCATAAGTATATTGCCATAAAAATGGTGGGAGGGGTCTTCCAAAACTTGGGCAAACCCAGATTTGCCCCATAAAAGTATCTGAGAGGGATTGATTTATAGTTGAACCAATGTATTTTCTAATGCATTATAACTCATGGTTGAGATAACAGTGAATGAGAGGTGCTTTTATGTTGATAAACAGAGGGAATATGTAGGAGTTTGCCTGTCCTAAGCACTAGGTAAGGAAAAGTGGCTGTGAGTCTAGAGTACTCCTTCATTTCCTTTATTTAGTGTGTGATGCTAGGGTAATTAAAGGGCTAAGGAAGTGTGTATCTAGGATTCAGTACAATCCATTACTAGTATCCAAGTATTTGCTAAGTTTTTATCTAGAAAGAGCAGTGGTTGGCATTTTAAGTCCTTTATTGAATGGAATCTGTTCTTTTCCCTGCTCTGTGACCTTGCACACATTGGCTAGAATCTCTGAGCATGTTTCACAATCTACCAAGTGGGATTGCTGTTTACCATAAACTATTATTAAGTTATTGGAAAGCTTAACTAAAATGTATTTAAATAACCATAAAACACTGAAAATGTGATGTATAAAATGATGAAATATCATAATAGAGTTTTCTGACAATAAACACATTAGTTATTTCTCTTATTTTTCTAGCATGGGTGTTTTTGGCAACCTTTTCTTCACAATTCAAATCTAAACTTCATAGAAAGTTTTAAAAATTTGCCACATATCTACATAAAGTAAAATACAAAACAGAGGAAATTTTCTAAGAATAGAGATGTTTGTTACAGCATCATTTATATCTTAAAACAATGTAAATCTCAAACAAGAAGGAGAATGAGTAAATAAATTTTAAATCACCCATAAGGTGAAATTATGTAGTGGAGTATTTATGAAGCACTTATAATGATGCTATAAATATTAATGAAGAGCATTTTGATTTGTTTTTATAATAGGATTTCATATATGTAAGAATACCAAGGAAAAATACATACCAATACCAATGTCAGTAGTTTTTTGCTGAGCGCTAAGAGTATGTATAATTTTTTTAAATATGCATATATTTATCTTAAAAATTGCCACAGATTCTAAAGAAGGACCAGCATAATATTTGGAAAATTGTGTTTTCTTTACCGTAAACCAAAATCATTTAAAGTATGATTTTTAAATTTGTATTCTATGATGTATATATAAATAAATGTACAACTGTGTATATGGGTATTATGAATTATTTTTTAAAACTTTTTTTTTTAAAGTTTTGTTTTTTAGTTGGACACAATACCTTTTTTTATTTTTGTGTGGTGCTAAGGATCGAACCCAGCACCCTGCACATATTAGACGAGTGCTCTACCATTGAGCCACAACCCCAGCCCCAAATTACACTTTTTTACCTGAAGTTTGCTCCCAGTGCGCTCTATCAATGAGTTACATTGCCAGCTCTTTTTATTTTTTGAGATGGGTTCTCACTAAATTGCTGAAGCTGACTTCAAACTTGGGATCCTCCTGCCTCAGCCTCCCAAGTGGCTGGGATTACAGGCGTGCACCACCATATCCAGCTGTACTTCTTAATCTGAGATGGCATGACCCTTTGCAACCATCCTTTATAACAGTAAAGAGAATTTTAAGTTTGCAAGTGATGAAGAAATGGTGGTTTTCTACAATAGAATATTAAGTGTGCTCTTTGCTGTCTCTGCTTCAGGTGCTGATAGTCTGCAGCACAGGTTTGGCTGGGATTATGCTGCTCAACTACCAGCAGGATTACACAGTATGGGTGCTGCCTCTGATCATCGTCTGCCTCTTTGCTTTCCTAGTCGCTCATTGCTTCCTGTCCATTTATGAAATGGTAGTGGATGTATTATTCTTGTGTTTTGCCATTGATACAAAATACAATGATGGGAGTCCTGGCAGAGAATTCTATATGGATAAAGTGCTGATGGTAAGTACTTCAAAAATGCCCTCTGCTGCTGGAGGAACAGAAATACTAATAAAAATATTTTGCAAATCATTCTCCATATTTAATTCCCACTATATGCAACAGAATAATTCAGAATTAAATCCGTAGCACTCACTCATGAATGAGACTATGCATGAAGAAATCAGGGAAGAAGTCCTTCCTGGCACAAAGATCATTTCAGATCCACCCAGCTGAGCCATACTCATTAGTGGTCCTAAATACACACTGTCCTAGACTCTGATGCTACTCTCTGAAGTTAGACAGATTTGAATGGACTTTTAAATTTGCCTTGTAGCCCTTGAATTAGAACACTGGGCCACTGCTGTTCTAAGTACCTTTTCCTGAAATGGGGCTTAAGGACAAAAATGTCTTATTTGCTAGTACCTGTCCTTCACCAGTCACCACCTTTCGAAATGCTATTGCTGTCAACCCTAGTTAAAAGTCATTGCCCTAAAAATACTAGTCTAAACTGAGGGCATTTCTTAATGAATACAGACAACTGACTTGTGATCAATATGTTGTTTTGTATTTTCATATTAGTCTACATCTGAATCTTTACACAGATACTTTATTCAGATGTTTTTTACAGTTAGGTAACCTCTGTAGATCCCCTAAACTAAATTCTGAATTAATTCCATGTTAAAATGGTTTAAGTACTATTTTCTTCAGTGTTAAATGATACAAGATTAAAGGTATTTTTTAATAATGAGGTGAAATATTCCTTTCTCCAAAATAGGTAATATTAAAAAGAAAATACTAAAATAATAACTTATTTTCCAAGAGCATGATTTGCCCAGTTAAATTGAAAATAAGTATATTAATAAATGAACTAGATTTGTTTCAATAGCAAAAATCCAAATGCTTTAGCTGACCTATTTGGTACTAATTATCACTTTTACTGAGAAAATCATCAACTAAATTTTGGACATTTTCCTAATGCCTAAATTAATTCTAACTGGTTGTTTTCATAATGGATGTGATTTAGGAGCACTGCATCTCTCTTGTGATTAAAGCATTTAGAAAATGTTGTGTTTTTTTTTTAAGCTACTGATCAAAAGCAGAGTAAAAAATAGGTTTTTTTCTGTTCAGTTTTCTCTGTATGAATGATAATGATAAGGATGAGGAAGTGTTCCATAAACTTTGACAGAATAGAAATGTTTCCTTTGGGGCATACTTCTATTTTAACTACTTCTGACCACAAGTTCTAGACTCTTGCTTTAGGAAGTGATGTCAAAACCAGGTAGACATTTTTTAAGTGTCATATTTATAGTTTAGGTGTTTAAAAAAATGTAGATTATGCTCAGCAGTATTATTGCTTTTACCTCCTTGGGTCTTTTAAAAGTGGAGACTTATGAAATAAATTGTTCTTTTTTCATTTAACCTTAATATGGAAAAAAATAGCGCAATATTCTAAGTATAGAAAAATAGTCTCTTAAAAATGTTAGGTGTTTTTTCTTTCCAGAGTAGAACTAATGCTAACTCCTGGACCCTTGATGAGATTGCCACAGTACATGGATGGAAAGCAGATTTTTTTTTTTTTTAATTTTTTATTGTGGGTTGTTCAAAACATTACAAATTTCTTGACATATCATATTCCACACTTTGATTCAAGTGGGTTATGAACTCCCACCTTCACCCCATACACAGATTGCAGAATCACATCAGTTACACATTGGAAAGCAGATTTTTACGACAGCAGATTACAATCCATCCCTACAAATTTAGCAGCTGTCATGTATAATACTATATGTTATCTACTGCTATACCAAGATTGAGTCAAATATGCAAATGTTCTTTAGAATTCATCTACTGACCAAAATCTGAAACTATCTGAACATTGATGCCATGTGGTCCATATTTTGCAGGAGTTTGTGGAAAACAGTAGGAAGGCAATGAAGGAAGCTGGTAAGGGAGGCGTCGCTGATGCCAGAGAGCTAAAGCCGATGGTAGGTGGAGATGAGGAGGCGGCCGCCCTCCGAGAATTTCACTTTCACTTCTTCTCTATCTCTGTCTTCACTGACTGCACTTCTTCAGGAGAAGCTTTTGTTATCTGTATCACGCAGGATGTGCTGCTTTTTCTGTTTGTGTGCTTACCCATCACTTGGATGGCAGAGTTCTTGTCACAGCTGAGACCACTTTCTGTAAAAGTAAGCTGAAAGGAACAGCATCTTCTCCAGTGTCATGGGGCTAGGGGGGACAGTTTTGTCCCTAAGATGCAATTGCTGTTTCTCTATTTTTTTTTTTTTAACTGTCAATTTTAAGTTTTCATCCATCTGAACATTTGGGTGTTCATTTGAACTGACGGTTTGATTTTTATCATTTTGAAAAGTGGTAGTACCAATTCCTTTCAACTTGCTAAAAGTTCATATTCCTCCTTTTTATAAATAATGTTCTGTTTACATTGTGGTCTTTTGCCCTTTGCTGATTTTTTTCTTCTGTTGCCTGGATTGTACCTTCTTTGTTTCTTAAGCTATTTTTCTTCCTTTTGTTCTTTCTTTCTTTCTTTCTTTTTTGGTAGCAAACAAGGCTGTTTCCATCAACACCCACATTCCCTCTAAGTAAGACTATCTGGTCTTCTCCCAGTTTACTTGTGAAAAGATTGAATTTCTCTGGCAATTTTAGACATATTCCCACTCTACTCTAATTTGAAAAAAACAAATTAAAGTTAATCAGCATGCAAATCCTGAGTTGTTTTTGCTATAGACATCCTCACTGTGGCCTAACCACAGATGTCTCCAGCAGGTATGTTGTCCTGCTAATCAGGACAACAGCAAAGATGCTGCCTACCCTGTGGTGGAAGGGAGGACTCAGGAAAGCTTCTTTCCCCCTGTTTCTGGGTTGTCCTCATTGCTCAGGAAATAAAGATTTCAAGCCTAAAACTTAAAAAGACATACATAAAATCTTAAAATATCAATTTGCTTTTCCCTCCTCTTCTGTCTTTCCAGTGATTGAGACTTTGATTAAAGCATTCTCCAGTAAAGGGAGAAATATTTAGAAGCTGAGATTTAACTAATTTGGCCACATCCTGGTATATATTTCCATATTATTCTTTAGTAAATGATAGATGAATTGTGGTCGACTAAAATGCAAATATCCCTTTTTTTTTAACCCCTAATTTATAGGCAATAATCCCAAGAGAATGGCCCAAGTTATGTGGCATTCTGCCAGAAACCAAAAATTTTAGGAAGAGTTGTTTTCCTAAGAGTATTTTCAGTTTTAAACCAGTGTCTTTTAACCCAACAATGCATTTAAATCTTCTTTCAGTTTTTGTTTTCATTTTATGTTGTTCATCAGTTCATTGCCTACCAAGGAATGGCAAAAACCCTCCTCCACTGTGTCCCCAGATACATCTTTTCTGTGCATTGTTCTTTTGATGCTTCAGACATTGCATTATTTTGGTACCTAAGAGTGATGTTTTAAGTAGTTTTAAAATTCCAGAAGAGAGAAATGTGAAATGTTGCTCACAAAGTAGGTTTGTTTGTTTGTTTGTTTGGGGCCCTGGGGTTTGAACCCAGAGGCACTTAACCACTGAGCCACATTCCTAGCACTTTTTTTAATATTTGATTTTAAGTTCGAGTCTCACTAAGTTGCTTTTTGAACTTTCAATTCTGCTGCCTCAGCTTCCTGAGCTACTAGGATTATAGGTTTGCACCACCACACCTGACCAGAGTAGCTTTATTTTTTAAGCATTAGTACCATATCTTTCTTCTCTCTCACACTCAGTATGCATGATTAGGATTGACCCCTACCATCACTATCCCCTTTGTCATAAAGAATTATCAAAGAAACTGCCCCCAAAGTTTGGGGCTTAGTAGACTGTAGATTTGCTTATTTGTATTTGCTCACATTATTCTCTTAGATGATAAGTTCTGTGGAAGAGTATCATGCCTATTTTGTAATATGTCTAGAAACACTTCTGCTGTCTGCCTTCTTCTTGAATATGGGGTATTTTAACTTAGGGTTTATTTTTAGCCTATAAGATAATGTTCAGGAAAGTGAGGTTTAAATTTTTCCTTTTGACAGGGGATCATTGAACTAACTAGGAGAACTGCCAGTATTCTTGGAATTTTTCTTAAAAGAGCCTCACAAGTTCAGAAAGTTTAAAGATCTATCAGGTCTTCCTACAGTTCCTTAAAATTTATTTTAGAAAAATTTACCAAACGTGATGAAGAGGTTTAGGAAAATCTCGCCGTCTGCTATTGTATAGGTTAGAACTTACAGGGAAAAAGGAGGAGGAGACCTGGGCTCTATAGGGACATAGGCCAGAAAAGGATGCTGTGCATATCTCCGAGATGATCCTAAAGGAAATGTGACCTTCAACATTCATAGGAATTTCAGCCCCAAGAATACAGGGGCAGGGAGAAGGAGTCTCAATCCATTTTGCTCTTTTACTGTCTGTAACCATGTGTATCTGTAACATCATTCATGATCTCCTTTTAATGGTAATTGTCTAAGATTATACTCTGTATGACTTTGTTTTCTAGGCTTCGGGAGCAAGTTCTGCTTGAACCTAGCCGACGGTTATGGAACCCATTGACATTCCAAAACAATATATACACATAACTATGTATTTGTGTGTGTGGGTGTGTGTATATATGTATATGTATGTGTGTATATATATGTATATGTATATACACACACACACATAATCAGCCAAAATCAGAGAAAAGGAACAGGGATTTAATACCTTTTTTATGCTTATTTTTGTCAAACATGTACTCCTTTCATACGGGTGGCTTTTACAAGGCAACTTCCGTCATTTAATGTTTTCAATTGTAATTGTCTTAATGGAAATGTTAGATTCATATCTGATTAACATTTTTAATAACTTAGAGGAGATTTTAACTTTAGTCACTTAAATTAGATAAAATTATTGTACCAAATTCTTGTCTAAAGTTTATTCAGGGGTGATTTCCCTGACGTGTGTATAAAATAAAGATCTTATTTTACTGAGGCGTGAGTCCTAGTGCCTAGGACTCATGTGCTTTCAGATAAATAAGCAATTTCTGCAATCAGTTTTCCCCAATCAAAGAAGCCATGTCATTTTACTTTTAGAAACATAACAGGTGGACCCTAGCTCATACATTTGTCAGCCAACATTAAAAAGTAACCAACTCCTCAGGTATTTGTAGTTTACCCTAATGCTTCTATAAAAGAAAGTAGGAAAAAAGAAAAGGGTAGATAATCTTTCTTATGCAAACTCTTTTCTTACATTTTGTCTTTTTTTTTTTTTCCACATTTTAGTAACATCCTCCACACATTTGTGTGCCTGATTTGAAAGGAAGCTGGGGCACCCAGCAAGTTTAGCCTTTAATTTTCTATGTATTGATTTGTAGATTAACGAATGCTGGGAGGAATAAAAAAGGGATAGAAACCCGGAACATAAAGCATGGAAAATTCCAGTGCTTGGGCTTCTGCTTCAGAGGAAACAGTGGCTTAGGGTTAAACGGCCATTTTATTCAAATGCTTGCTATAAAATCTGAAAAAACACTGGCAGGTGCTCCTCTCCTTGGCAATCCATTGCGTATCCAGAGTTCTACAATGTTTAACTAAAGAATTGGTTAATATTTTGATCCTCAAGTGTGAATGTTCTTTATGTTTGGGAGTGGGCTTGGGGTTTTTGGGGTTTTTTTTTTTAATTCCTGAAGCTTACCAGATATGAATGGCTAATATTCCATTGTTCTGCTTATTGTAATGGTGAATGCTTTAAGAAAAAAAAGTGTAATTTGCTAAGAATAATTCATGATCTGTTTATGCGATAACTCCTTTTTGTTACAATTTTTTTAAAAAAGGCTATTTTTGTTAATGTAAAGTAAATATTTCAGAGCAAATTTTTTAAACTTATTGCACTAAATACAGGCTCTGTACAAAAAAACAAAAAAACAAAAACAAAAAAAAAAAAGCCTCAGCATTTTATCATTCCATGGAAGGAGAATCTTTTGAAAGAAAGCATTGCCTCCTATCAGAATTAGACAGCGAAGTAGACTGGTATTATGGAAATGCATACAATTAATGTCACTAGGGCTTAATAAACAGCTGTTTGCTAATGTGCTTCCTTTCAAAGGGTTGGACCTTTAAATTGCTGCAAAAGGTAAATTGTATTTTTTTTTAAGTATCTGTGTTCTTTATCTAGCTAGGCTAAAATTTGCTAAATGCCTTGGTTTCTTTTTCAAAGCTCATGTAACATTTCTGATTTTTCAGAATATTTGCAATAAGAATCTGGATTTAAAAAAAAACAACTTATACACACAATTAAGAGTTCATGTCTTAGCAAGATCTGGGAAACCAACATTATGAGCGTAGCTATTTTGAAAAAGTAATTCTCCAGAAGTTAACATTTAACATCTAGTGTCGCCAAACAGTGTCACTGTACTCTTTTATATCATTTGAAATGGAATAAATATAATTATGTAACTAACAACTGTCCAAATAGGTGAGAGAGCAAATCATGTAAGAAAATTCAGAATACTGTCTGTTCCATAGCCACACAGATTTTGGACATTCAGAAAATTGGGAAATAAATTTAGAGTTGGCAAAAGTCTGGAAGATGGGTATCAAAACGGAAGACATTTCGGGAGCTAGCTATTTTCAGAGGTCTTCCTCCAAAGTGACCTGACAGAAGTCTTGAACTTGGAAACTAGGTTCTACTCACTTGGACATCCCTGCATCATGGACTTTTGCTGCCCCCTGTTTCATGTGCTCCCAATATCAGCTATTTGGAAGCCACCAGGAATGCTTTCTAATTATCATTTGCAACTAGAACTGTAATCAGAAAGAAATTTTGTATTTTTGTATAACTTGATTGTGTGCCATTTTATATAACAGGTCCTGTTTTACAAATAAATTTTGTTATTACTAACATTGTGTTTAGAAATTATGATCTATGTGTAACCATGTCCTTTGAGTTCCAAATTAATTTCTAGGCTGTTTTCCCTAAGTAAATTTGTGTGCCATATAAATATATGCAAATGTGCATATATATTACACAGGCACACATAGAGAGATATTTGATATATCTCTCACTCTCACATGTGCTTCATTCCTTGATTAATTTGATAAAGCCTCCTAGAGGCTTTTCAGCAATATTCAAATGTTTTGCAGTTATGTTCAGATATTTCTGCTGCCTCCTTCATTCATTGCAAATCATTCTTCACCTAGCTGTGGGCTGCCTTATTGCTATTTGCTCACTGCCTCCATCTTCTGCCCAAGTGAGAAGAATAGATGAAGATCAGAAATTATCTGTGAAATGTGGATACCTGAAAAATTTTATAAACCATTGATTCTATGTTGTGGTTCATGTCCTTTTCTGTGATGGTTCTACAAAACGGTCTATAGGAGTCCTATCTCTAGAGTTCTAGTTAGGGTCCCCTATTGTAAATGGTAGTACTGTCCAGAGTGTCACTGTGGTTTCTACCATCAGATAGTTAATACTCTGGCATATAGTTTAGACCTTCTAGATTACTTCCTCAAAAATAAACTATGCTGTAATATAATAGGGAAGGTAAAAGGTTCAATTTCAGTGTAAGTCCAAGAAACCCATCTTCAATTGGAGGCTTTACCAGTGCAATAATTTAAAAAAAAAAGTAATTTAACAAGGACACTGAGATTGTATAATCTTTGCATGAATGAGCAGAGTTCAAAGTAGATTGTTGATCTAAACCACTTAGTGCAATTGTTAATGTTTAAGATTAAAGTTTTTATCCTGTCATACAGGATAATTAAGTCCTACGTCACTGGAACTTAAGTAGCTTAACTGTGTGTTGGTCCTGAACTTTTTCCATAATGGTTAAGGAGGGGGGACTTATTGAGTCTATTTAAAAATTATGCTGGAAATATGTTTCTTCTTTACAGAAATGATCTCTTACTCTTTTCTTCTCCCCCCATCCCTCCAGTGAAGGGCTTTAAGCCCCTGATTATAAGTTCTTCCAACACCATTGACCTTGGTATCTGCCAAGGGCTCTCTTGCCTTCCCAAGGCAATTTCAGAATTTAACCCAGTAGTAAGCGATGAGGAGCTAACCCCTTTATCCTGTTCCTGAGCTCCTTTAACACAGAATAATACCTCTCTTTCCCTCTTACTAAAACAACCACAGGAATTGCGTGCACCAGATATTTGCAAGGCCATATAGTACCCCTGAGCCTTCAAACATTTCCACCATGCAGACTCACTCACTACTTACTAAAGGCTACTTCAAGAGGTTTCCTAACATGCAAAGTAGTATTGTGGGATTAGTTCCAAAACCAGAGCTGTCAGTTACAGTGATTGAACAATTTATTTTATGTTGCTTTTGTTCAGAAACCTTATCATTTGAATTGGAGTTTCCAATAGCCTTAACATAGCCTCTAAGAAGTTTCCTTCAAAAAATGTTCACTTCTCAGTAAGTAAGTTTGCTATCGCTTTCTTTGGCTACTTTGAAAAGAAAAAAAAAATCTTCAGAGTCTGGAAGCTTATCAGTGCACCTGACATGGTTAATATTTGTATTCTTTTTATGTATTTCATCTGACAGATAGAAATGCTTACTGAGAGTTAAGATGTGGTCTGTGAATATATATTGGAGAATTGTGGGTTCATAAGTAATGCATAAAGCAGAGATTTGTGTATGCTATATTCATAGCACAGAATCCTTTTGCTTTAAATGTATATTCATATAGCTCTGTGTACTAAGAAATGCGTGTTAGCCCTTTGGAAAAATAGGCATTGTTCATAAACAGTGACTGTTTTGGGAATTAACTCATCTTTGTTGAGTGGCACGCCTAAACTTTGAAAAAGCAGAAACCTTGGGTGTATCAAGAGGAAGTTTAAAGCTAGAAATCTTTAAAAACAAAACAGAAACTAATCATATTTTATATACTAATAAATTTAAAATAGCACACTTTTCCCATTCAGATTTCACAAATTTTAGCCAAATTATTATATTCCACATTTTAATTCAAGAAGACAATTTTAACCCAAGATTTAAATCTTTGAAAATATCTTTCTTATAAAAAAACTTCAATGTGAAGTTTTTAACATTGTGAATTTCTGTATAAAGCCATTCTTTTCTATAAAAATACTATAGAGCCCTTTCTTCCTCCCCCTCTTGATTTTTATATGTATAAAAATAGACAAATGATGATTCAGTTTCAATTTTATGTGAACAACTGCCACTTTTGTAAATTACATGGACAGAATTTAAGTTTGGTATTTCTAAGGGAATTCATTAGAAAATTTGCTTAAAAGATATGAAATTGTTAGGAACCCAACTATTAGGCTATTCTTCAGTTTTGATGCTTTACAACCTAAATTATTTTCTCCAGACCAGAGAACTCAGAATAATGAAGCTTTTAGTTGTGTTCTAATCAAGATCCAGTCGAACACATAAATATTAATTTATAAATGTTCAGAATTTTTCCACTTATAATTGCTAAGACCTGAATTCAATATTTAAT